AACATGTTGGAGAAAGAAACAAAAGTGAGAATACACGTAGAAACAATTATATATTTTAACAGGCAGAAAAAAAAAGAGGAAAAACAAATGAAGTGACTCGGAAATGAGAGGGAGAAGAAAAGGACTTGCAACATGCGGGACTATATATATATATATATATATATATATCAAAATTTAATAACAAAAGAAAATAGACGAAGAGCGAAAGAAAATAGCAATTTTAATTAATATTGGCCATGATCTTATGTGGCTTCCGTTTATTTTATTAATTTAGTTCAATTTAACTCAATTTAAACATGGAGTATAATTTAAACTCGTGTTTGATAAGTATACATTTCAAATTATATTTTTTATTTTTACTGAGTTAAACTGTCAAATTTAGAGTTTAACTTTCCCTTTAAGTTTAACCGTTCAAATTTTTTTTAAACAGTAAAAAAGTACTCACTCTCTCTATTTTTTCACACCTATTAAATACAAATTCAAATTTTATTATCTATTCAAATTAAAATTTTAACTGTACATCCAAATATCAATTCGAACTACAATTCAAACTACACTGTTTGAATTTTTCTATTAAAATAAAAAAGTTTATACCGATAAAATTCAAACTAGTGAATCAAAACGGCAGCGTAATTTGTTTTTCTGGTTCTATAGAATTATTGGTCCATTTGTCGTACTACCTAGCTATTAACAGGGGAGGGGTTGCCCCACATTTTTTTTTGAAGGAAAAAAATTGGAACTTGCATATGAACTATCTAGTCATTTTGCTGTATAAGATTTTCTTCTGCTTCATGTTTTAACCACGCCAAACTTTATTTTGTCTCACGTGGCAATGTCAACTTTGTGCGAAAATGTGATGCGGTAATGGCATTATTTTTTTCTCATAAATAACACAATGCCAAAACATCATGAACTTGACTTTAACTTTTGATTAGGCGCACGCGTGGAAATTTTGGTGTGCGAAATTTCTCTTAAAAAAAAAAAAATTCTATTCCTATTTTATTAAAGAAACTTATTCTTGAGTGTAACAATAGAATCTTTCATTATTTTATCTTTTTCCTCTCTCTTTTTGCAATTTTTGTAGAAGAATCAAACGTGACCTTACGAAACCTTGCTAGGTTTTTCCGCCATAAATTATTATTATTATTTTTTTTTTGTTTTTCCTTTGGCGATTTATGACTGTTAACTATTACTCTACTATAGTCGTAAATGATTCCAAAGTAGCCGAGTCTTGAAAGAACCTTCAAGTTCATGGAACCTCATTATAAGAACGAGAAGGATTCTTACCCATTCTGTTTCTTGTGGGATTAGACAACTAAATGCAATATTGGAGAAGAGAAATTTTTCCAAAAATAAAGTGGGCTGAAGAAGCTTTCTTAATCAAAAAGTTATTCCATTTTCTCATAAGCTAGCTAAGGCCTTGTTTCAAAGATTTCCCCTCCCTAATATTTCTTTAATTAGCTTTGCCTAACTCTGTCTTTTTGGCAAACTTTAGGTACTTGAATGTTGAAAATTTAACTTCTGCCCCACGTGGGGTTGAGGTAAAGCTTCAAAACTTCAAGGAATCGATCTCTCCGGCTTTGACTGTAGAAACTTGAGGAACAATTTAGCACAAAGATAAAAGAAGTATGAACAACCCAAAAAACCAAAAAAAAAAACAAAACAAAACAAAACAAAGAAAGAAAGAAAGAAAGAAGATTCCATATATATAATTATATAACAAAAGCAATGTGAAAAAGAAGACGAACGGGAGCAAAAGAAGTTAATTAATAAGCATTTGATTAGTCTAAGACGTAGTTACCGCGAACCATCTTACTTTTTCTCACAAAGACCCTAAAAAAACGCAAAAAGGACACATGACCTTGAGATTTCAGGTCAATAATTGACTTTACGTTGGCTACATAATGTAGTTTTGTTTAATATTACTGATCAGCCTTTGTCATAATTTGGTCTCCTTTATACCTTAAACGACCTAGCCACCGTGCAAATTAATTATCAACTACCAAGAAAAATAAGCAATAAACAAATGCACGGTAATTGTCGGGAAAATTCAACAATCTTTCTCGGTCTCTAAACTAAAGCCAAGAAAGCATAATCATAGGCATATAGACAGAAAGAAAGAGGAAAGTTCCATTAGTACTCCCCAACTTTCAAAGCTCTAGCTAGAATAAGGTTTAAAACCGGCCTTTTTTTTTTTATATTATTAATGTGCCTTAAAATTCAATAATGCGCATTCTAATTTATTAATTAAAAAGGCTAAAATGTACATGGAAAGTCTATGTGGTCAAGTTAAGAGTATGGAATCAAAATATGGTTAAGATACTAAACCTAATAGGTAAAGTTTCGACGTATTGAGTTGTAGACAAAATGAAATATTGGGAAAAAGCACTAAATGCCATATAGAAAAAGGTTGACTTTATACACGTACAAAATTTAAGAAGCAAGGCAAACAATCAAAACGCTGCTGGTTTTCGTTCAAACTACGTAGGTTAGGTTTGGAACTGCTGGTTTTAGTGGCCCTTTACAAGGGGCGGTCTCAAGGCTATGTGCAATTATTGGTTCATGTGTTTGGCTTAACTGTAATAAGTTGCTTTTCGGATGTCCAGAGTCTGAAAAAAAAAAAAAAAAAAAATGTTGTTTTCCTTGTTTTTGATGTTTGAATGAAACTCTCTTCGGGTGGTTCCCTTGACTGCCTAGAAAATTCACTTTTAACTACATAAGAATATGGACAAGGATTTTAATGTGTACAAATGATAATTAATACGGTCCCACTTTCACTCGCTTTCTTGTTAACATGATAGAACATTGTACTATGATATTTGTTTCATGATTAGGAACTAATTAAGGAAGATATTTGTATCCAAATATCCGTGTCAATGTGGGTTTTATTGCGTTAAACTTTTAACTCTGAAGTAACAGTCGGCAGTCATTATATGATAGCAACACAAAAAACATGCAAAAAGCAGTTTTGGTCCATGCTTTTCTCTGCCTCAGCTAGTGCGATTTGAATAGTAACTTTACAGCAAAAAGTAGTACCTACATAATGTAGTTCTTAAGTACGAGTCGCATTATAAACACATATTGCACATCATATAAGTTTGGCCTAATAATATACGTCAGATACAGAAAACGAAGATATTACAAGTTTGCAAGAGGGAAAAAAAAAATAAAAAATAAAAATTCAGTTGGCAATTCATTGATGTCCTCATCGTTGAAAAGAATATAACATGGAGGGAGAGTGCGCTTGCTTGAAATGGCCCTCATTTCATCTTATTAGTGGCTCCTAGATGGCGCTAGATCAATAGGGTCTTATTCTCCTATAGCCACAACAAAAAATTTGTCACTCTTGCCACGTGCTGAGTCCCCTCCATTTAGTTTTTATACATGCATGACGATAGAGCGAAAATATACTTCTCATTTAGTACACTATATACCATGTTACACTGATGAGATGTATCTAGGTTTTCAATAAAGTATTAGAAATTCATAAAAGTGAATTTGAGAATCAATCAACTAGAATAAAATTTTCTTCCCAAATGATATTTGTGTGAATATTTAGGGTTCCATTGATCAGAGATGGAGGGAGAGGAATGCGGATTTGGCTCACTCTCTCTCTCTCTCTCTCTCTTTTCTATTTCTTTTATGTAATTCAATGATATCATCTCACATCAATTAAATTTTATAACAAATATGATATTTTAATTGATGTACTATATATTTAATAATGATCATAATTTAAGTCTCGTTTATTTTACCAATTCGAGTTTAAAATTTAAATTTTATTATAGTACACTATATACCATGTTACACTGATGAGATGTATCTAGGTTTTCAATAAAGTATTAGAAATTCATAAAAGTGAATTTGAGAATCAATCAACTAGAATAAAATTTTCTTCCCAAATGATATTTGTGTGAATATTTAGGGTTCCATTGATCAGAGATGGAGGGAGAGGAATGCGGATTTGGCTCACTCTCTCTCTCTCTCTCTCTCTCTTTTCTATTTCTTTTATGTAATTCAATGATATCATCTCACATCAATTAAATTTTATAACAAATATGATATTTTAATTGATGTACTATATATTTAATAATGATCATAATTTAAGTCTTGTTTATTTTACCAATTCGAGTTTAAAATTTAAATTTTATTATAATACACTATATACCATGTTACACTGATGAGATGTATCTAGGTTTTCAATAAAGTATTAGAAATTCATAAAAGTGAATTTGAGAATCAATCAACTAGAATAAAATTTTCTTCCCAAATGATATTTGTGTGAATATTTTAGGGTTCCATTGATCAGAGATGGAGGGAGAGGAATGCGGATTTGGCTCACTCTCTCTCTCTCTTTTCTATTTCTTCTATGTAATTCAATGATATCATCTCACATCAATTAAATTTTATAACAAATATGATATTTTAATTGATGTACTATATATTTAATAATGATTATAATTTAGGTCTCGTTTATTTTATCGATTTGAGTTTAAAATTTGAGTTTTGTTATAGTAAAAAATTTTAAAAAATAGTCACATTTAATTTTTTACTATAATAAAAAATTTTAATATAAAATTATATCTTAATTTAAATTAAAAATTTAAATCAGCGAATTAAATGGACTCTTAGTTCACGACGCAAAGGACACGTAGATTGAATTTGAGGAAAACAAGCTGAAGAGTAATCATTGTTTCATTAACGTGGCTGCCTGATTTAGCTTCATAGTAGTCACTTTTTTTTTTTGGGTAAAAATAGTGGGTCCCTCCAAATTATAATACTAATAGACATATTTTACTGCAAACCTCTAATTTGTATAATAATTTTTTTTGTTGAAAATTAATTTGTATAATAATTGAAGCTTTGCTTTAGCGTTGTAGTCGAAAAGTACAGGTGCCTAAAGAAACAAGGTTGGTTGTTTCGTCTGTTAGTGCCGAGAAACGCCGTTATAAATTGACAAGGCGACCCAGTTGCAGTTTGTGTGTGACTCATGACTTGTGACTGAGAGACCTTACTTAGTGCGCGTGTGATTTTCAACCCTTTTTTTTCCCCCTTTTTCTCTTAAGGCCTTTCGTTATATAAATAAAACCCCCTCCCTTCTCTCAAACAACCCACTTCTCTCTCTCTCTCTCTCTCTCCATACAACCAAAGCACATATTTGCCATCTCTGTTTTCTTCTTCACGACTCTGTTTTTTTTCCCCCCCTCTTCTCTTGATCACCACTCTGTTCATACATACACCAGACAACAACATGACAAACCAGAATGTGGTTGTTTCGGACGCAAAAGGCTTGGCAATTGCCGTGGCCGTAGCGAACCAGTCCTTATTCTCTTCCGCGCCAGGCGGGTGTATCACCATTTCTCGGAACAAGCTTCAGAGACTCGAAACCGGCGGCGGTGGAGCTAGGATCAGCGCCTGGGTCGATTCCATGAGAGCTTCTTCTCCTCCGCGTACCACCAAATCCATTACTTCCTCTAATCTTATTTCCCAAGACGAAGAAAAAAGCTCTTGGACGGTAATATAATATATATACATATATTCATGTTTTTTGTTATACTACTCAAGAAGCTTCTCTATTGACGGTTTTTTTTTATTTTCTTTCTTTGGTTTGTTGTTGTTTTGGGAAAGTACAGCTTCGACACCCGTCGGCGTTGAGCATGTTCGAGCAGATAACAAATGCTTCGAAGGGAAAGCAGATTGTGATGTTTCTTGACTACGATGGTACTCTTTCTCCCATTGTTGAAGACCCTGATCGAGCTTACATGTCCAATGAGGTCTTTTTCTTTTACTTCTTATAAGTTATAAGCTTGTCCTGTTCATGTTCAATTTTTTATGAAATTAGTTCCTCTACAAAATGTTCTACTAACTTAACAAGTTTTTTTTTTTTTTTTTTTTTTTTTTTTTTTTTTTTTTTTTTTTTTAGAAAAAAAAGGTGTTGCTAGTTTTTTCCCAACCGCCATAGTGATTTTCATTAGATGAGAAAAGCTGTGAGGGCAGTTGCTAGATATTTCCCAACCGCCATAGTGAGCGGAAGATGCAGAGACAAGGTAAAACTTTTGCATTTTTTTAATTTTTAGCCATGATTATTACATTAATATCATATTTACTTGAATCTGATTGAGATATATAAAATTTTTCAGGTTTATAGCTTTGTGAGATTAGCAGAGCTTTACTACGCAGGCAGCCATGGAATGGATATCAAGGGTCCGTCAAAATGTAGCAAATACAAAAACGTGAGCTTCTAAGTTTCTTCTCTTCTCATATTTTATTTTATTTTATTTTTTTGTTTTTGTTTTTTTTTTCTTTCCAAAATTCGTGTTGTTGACTTTGAACTTTCTACGTTGAATATTGTTGTTGTTATTCAGGGTAATGAGTCAGTCCTATGTCAACCGGCCACGGAATTCCTGCCCATGGTCGATGAGGTTGGTCTCATTTTCTAGCTTGAACTCGTGTATATGTCACAAAGAACTTATAATAACAATTAGGTGTACATGAAAGATTAATTTTTTTTTTCTCTCACTATAATAGGTGTACAAAATTTTGTTGGAGAAGACAAAATCCATCCCAGGCTCCAGGGTGGAGCACAACAAGTTCTGTATATCCGTACACTTCCGTTGCGTTGACGAGAAGGCAAGACTGTAGATTTTTTTTTTTTTTTTTGCCCTAAATCTTTTCTTTTATTGGTTTGCCTTATAAAAGTTTACTTATTTATTTATTTATTTTTCAGAGTTGGGCTGCTTTGGCTGAGCAAGTTAGATTGGTGATCAATGAATATCCGAAACTTAGATTGACTCAAGGGAGGAAGGTACTGACTACAAATGTTTCAGTTTAATGAAAAGTTCCAAAAAGAATGAAAAGAAAAAGAAAAAAAAAAAGATCTTAACATGAAAAGTTATTTGTATGGTGTTATATATAAAATAATATTGCACATATTTCCCAAGTGCCTGACAAATTTTTGGCCTTTGAATAGGTACTAGAGATAAGGCCAACCATCAAATGGGACAAGGGCAAAGCCCTCGAGTTCTTACTAGAATCACTAGGTAAGCATTTTACTCATTTATTCTCTCCATGATTAAAAAGGTGGTTCCCTTTTTAATCATCATTGCACACCGTAAAATAACTTAACGAAGTAATAATTATAAACTTATCTCTAATTACCAATCATATCAATCAATCCTCTTCAGGATATGCCAATTCTAATGAAGTGTTGCCCGTATACATTGGAGATGATCGAACCGATGAGGATGCGTTCAAGGTATTAGATCCTTATCTATATATATACATATATATACCATATCTCTTTTTGCCGATATCATATATAGTAATCTTTTGCTTATAAATCCTTTGTATTAATATATATATATATATATATGTAACAGATTATGTATGTACGGTATCTTTTTTTATAGGTTCTGCGCGAGAGAGGACAAGGATTTGGAATCCTTGTTTCTAAAGTTCCAAAGGAAACGAGTGCATCTTATTCTTTGCAAGAACCATCCGAGGCAAGAATATTATCTAGTCCTAATTTGTACTTAAGCCTCAATGATGCCTGCTTCATTAATTAATATATTATCTTAATTAGTTACTAATTACTGTGGGAATTACTTTGATTAATTTGTAGGTTAAAAACTTTTTGAGGAGGTTGGTGAAGTGGAAAAGATTGTCTATGCGGAGAGAATATTAAATTTAGATCGGATGTACGAGACACAAAGAAAGTGAAGTGCACCCCAAAATTTTGTCAAGGGTGTATCCAAGTTGTGTAATATTGTTTCTAATCTTGTTGTGATTATAAATGATTTTACATGAGAGAGACAATTCCAAAAAATTTGAAAATTGTTCGAGTATTTCTTCTCTTTGACTAGCTTCTCTCATGTTATTCAATTGTTCACGTGCCTGCATGGCCAATATTGTCCGAACTCAAATTAAGCGTTTTCCTGTACGTTGTAAAATCATGTACTATTCGGAAATACCAATTTATAACAAAACCAACTAATAATCTAAATTGCATACATACTCAACCAAAAATAACAAATCAATAATACTATCAGTAATTTTTTTTTTTTTTTTCACATTCCACAAACTGATTATGAATGTTGGGAGATTCCACAAACTGATAATTAAATAATACGTACGACGTTTTCGCGTTAAAGTGAGGCAATTTTTTTTTTTCAGGACATTTTTATTTCTTTACTTATTGGTTAATTATCAATAATGTCCAATATCGTTAACTTTTGTGAGACGTGTTGGTTCACCGGAGACTGGAAATATTGAGTGGCGAGCTACTAACTAATTCAGTTTGTAATGTGGCCATTATTAGTCTGTTTCAGGGTAAAAACACATAAAAGGGGGAATCATCTTTAATTAATTAACAGCACTTTGCCAAATAGAAAAATCCAAGTTGAATTCATAGTCTAATTCTTCTACGTTTGTATTCTGTTCTCATTTTTTTTTGAAAACTTTATTGCCGGCACAAATCCTCCCTTTAGTTTATTCCAATTCTTGAGGGAACACTTTTCATCAACAAAGTAAAAATAAATAACAAAAGTACAATAAGGCCACCTTTACATCATAAGTTGCGATGTGGTCGAAACGTGCCAGTATCTGATCGAGGGATATAGAGGCGCTATATTGATACACATAAATATACAAATATATATATATATAAGTATATAGGTGCCTGCTGTAATAATTATAATTAGACTTTGAGAGTCGTGGTTCGTACATATATTCATCATTTAATTCCAGTGATAGCTTTAGAAACAACATGGGATTATCCATAACATCCCACAAAAGAACTGGGTAGTACTGAGAATGTTTTTCTCCAATTTTAATAATAATAATAATATACGTAATCTAATACATTTGTTCTTGAGTAAAGTGACTTACAGTTAAGTAATTGGCACGACGTGGGGTATCCAAGAAATCTTGAGATTTATTTATTAATATCGTCGTGCATATTTCTTTGAGAGAGGACCAAGGTTTCATGCAAATATATTGCCTGTCAAATATTATTAAGTTCATTCACCAATCGTTGATGAATATGCAGTATGGGAAGCAGTGCTTTAATAAGGTTACACTTTTTGTATTGTATATATTATTATAATATGTTGTATGATCATATATAATGTCTATCTCTTTGGTATTGAATCAATTATAACGTGGGAGCAGTCAGGTGACAACACAATGAGATTCTTGAACCGAGTGCATCCACGCACTTCTCTCTCAAGCTCCCCAAAGTCATCCTCTCCCTTCATTACTTGTTAATTTTCAACCAACTTGCTGTAATTAAATGTGAAGAATAATTCACAGTCTCACACCGTGGTTCTCGTGGAACATTTTAATACATGCCATTTGATCTCTACTTTAATTAGCTAGGTTCAACCTCATTAGGTACTAAAGAATCCCTACTCTATGATCATGAGTCTACAATTTCTGCTTAAAATATATGTGTGTATATATCCATATATTCACACACACACATATATAAATATATATGTATTATTGTAAATTGATGACACCTACATTTATAGAGTTTAAATCTATGTCTCATTTTCCTATCTTATTATCTCTGACCCGATTAAATTTTGACACCTCGTTTAACATATATATTATTAATGATGCACAATGTCTATGAAGATCGTATAACTGTTTCCTTGCATGTTATTTATCTAATTAACATATGACATCTCATTTAATTGCTTTAAGTAATTTTAATATTAAGTTCCCATTTTATGCAGTTAAGTTTAGGATAAATACAAAAAGGATAGCCAGTGAGTGAGAAGAGTAAAAATTCGTATTTCTATCTATTTATCTACAGTTGTGGTGCAAAAAAGAATATTAAATGGGTAACTAAATAGAGGAATGCCTGTATCTATATTCAGTGGCACCGTAGATCACTTGTTGAACTTAAATAATTGACAGAATAATTTGAAGTAGGATTGAAGCATAATAAGATGTGTATATCCAATGCAATTCGTCAATATATAGTACTGAGTATACGAGGCTTTCATGATCACTTGTATGTTCGTATGCATCGAACTTATCTTGGGTCAAAGGACGAAAATCCTATGTATGATAATTGATACTTAGCACATACCGCGCTCAGGCCATCGTACGTTCATTTAAAATGGAAATTTCTAGTACAAAACGTACATTTCTGAGTTGGATTTATTTTATTTATTTATTTATTTATTTTTGTCCTTGAAATTTCTGAGTTGGATTAATCAATGATGATGATGATGATACATCATTACTGCATGCAGAATACATGCGAGAAATTATTGGAGTTTGAGGGCGCCTTTTCATTTTCCTTACAATAATGGCTCTTTCCGTTTTAGTTAGTACTCGTCTCTTTAGTCACCAATTTCTTTTATTGTACTAGCGGCAAGGATTTTGAAACCAATAATTTGGCAGTGATAAGAATTGGTCAGAATGGTAGGCTAAAGTCTTGTCAACTTTTCTTCTACCAAGGCGCTCATATATTCGTTATGAAAAATAAAGCCTTATTGTATATTATTGTTGCTGTATGATTTTGTCATGAATGGAAAGTTTTCCGATTTTTGATAGGGCTTTCATAGACATAGCTATCATTCAGAACATATGTATAAACTTGTTATCTTAGAAAACCCTTTGTCTTTACGAGTGCTATGATCCAATGTTGATCAAACCTATCTACGGAATACATGCACACAGACGCATTTGTAATTTGATATTAATTTGATGCAATATTTGAAGCCAGCCCTTTTTCTTTTTTTTTTTTTTTTTTTTTTTTTTTGGCTTGTGTACATGTGAATTGCCAACATTTGATTGTATATATGTAGGCGTATTTCTGCGATATTTTATGGTGGATTTCGAAGTCCGATTATTTTGTTCCTTCCTTACGTACACACATATACACCACACATCCTCCCTTCACCCCTATTCTCGGACATTAATAGAAAAGAAAATGAAAAGGAGCATTAGCACGCGAGCTAAATTAAATAATAAGCTTGTGTGAGAGCTGGCACTAATATAGGGCACAAGTAGATCAATCTGGAGACACATATTTAATTATCTATAATTGGCACTTTAAACGGCTAAAGCGTATTAAAGAGCCAAAACTGCGCATAATTAAAAGGCTATTAGGCTATGGATGATCCCCATATCCCTTAATTATTAAACAAACATATATAAGATCCAACTGAGAGTATTTCTGCAAGATACTAATAAGACCTTCAATGAGTGAAGTTAGGAGGTTATTTTTCACGAACAGAGATGTAGACCTACCCCATTGGGCACCTAGATCTGGGAGGGCCCACATCAAAAGGATAAAAGGAATCTAAAAGTTGTTTTTTAATGGATCTATTTAATGGATTTATTTTTCAAGTGTTAGGTGGTGAAAGGGAAACCCACTACTAGGTGAAGGCCGGGAATCTATAAATATTGGTTGAAGAGGAGTTGGAATCCACTTTAAGTGCCGTGATATGAAGAGGACATACATGGGGGGTTTTTCGTTAGGGACACCCACCACCACCAAAAAAAAAAAAACCTGTCTCTTTCAAGGCGTGTAAAGGATTATTCAAACCCATTATTGGTACCATAAACAGAAATAAACTAACCCCCAAGAAGGCTCCAATTATTTGAGGAAAAAGGTCCACCATGCTTCTACAAAGAGTAGTTCCACCACTAAGAAGTGAGAGCCCAACTAACTAAACCCTCAATGTATCACACTAATTTGGCAGCTTTTACTCAACTGATCATCCATGATACACATATATTATGGGTCGGAAAAGTAATTGCCTCTCCGTTCAATTCACGTACTAATTGAAATTTATGCCGCCCCCAATACGTCCCTATTTATATATAAAAACATCACCCAATACTCAATAAAAAGAAAAGTTCTTTGTAAGTTTATGAAACTTTTCCTCCCAATCAAGCATATTATATATATATATATATATGTATATGTATATGATTGTTTTGAGCCCTAACAACATGTCTTTTTTTGTTATGGAGATTCTCAGCAGTACCACAATTTAATTACATGTTTACAAGTTAGTTTGTTCCAACTGCAGCTTTAGCAATTAAAGATGTAATGGTCCCCAACTCATAGAAGGGTGAGCTGGATGGTGCGTTGTCAAATTTCCATTGACTCGTATATATGGATTTATAGGACTTTGAAAGCAATGATCGATCATATCATTTTCTAATTTCTACGTTGTTTTGGTCAGCAACGTACGCTATGGTCATGTGTTTTAACGTAGTTATAGCATATAATTATTTGAAAAATTTTCCCATGTGATAGCCATGATCTTGCAACGAGAACCATTAATGCTTATTTTGATGGTTGTTGATTTGCTGGTTTGTTTTTTGGGCCTAACCAGTAACCAGGACTTTGCATTATTGGTGGAAAAGATTTAGAGAACCTGACATGTACCTGTATATAGGGAAGCGTCAACCAATTGCATGCATGAGTCGTACATTTTCCTAGGAAAGTCGCGCGCGCGTGTATATACATATATTGCAACGTTGATTGTGAATGGACTAGAACAAGACACGAAGTGCGAACCAGTTCAAACTCAATCTGATCATGATCGTCATAAATAAAGAACCTCGTTCCCCCCCCCCAAAAAAAAAAAAAAAAAAAAAAAAAAAAAAAAAAAAAAAAAAAGAACTAATGCTATATAGGCTGGCAACAGCCAACTTGAAGATCAAGCCTGGATATTTTAAGTCTGGAGTATTATATATAAGCAGAAGTTTTTGAAGTATGGATCCTAGGAAAGAGAGGCATCATAATTAATGATGTAATGAAGTACCACTTGTGATAAACAACCAATCTTATTTCTTATGGTCAGAACTATTATATATCCTATATACATGTGTGTGTGTGTATATATATATGTATCCACAGAGATAGGGGCAAATAACTGTTCTCCATCTTCTATTGTTCTTGTGACTTCAGAGATTAGAACTTTTAAAATCCTTCCTTTTTCTTTAATTAAGTCATATTCTGGATGATCATATAAGTTCCTCTTATCCCAAACATTCGAATTTGTTAGTCACGTGGAGCACGTGCACAGGTGTAGGTATGGGTAACACTGAGAGCGTAGCTAGTTTGTCACGTGGACACACACATATCTAGAGAGAGAATATGGAGAGTTGTTCAGCTGGTTCCATTTGTCATTAAATTTGGTTACCCTTTTTGACCATATAATTATATTTATTCCAACCCAAAGCAAAATCACGTTGGATTTAGCAGTACTAAGCAAATGCAATTTGCAATGCAAATTGTGTCTTCGCACGAATATTATTTCACTTTCTCCATGTTTAACCTGGTATATATATATATATATATATGTATATTCGCACTAAAAGACTTGCTAAACAATAAACATAGTCATTACAAACAGTCATTTGTGGGTGCTTTTGGATTCTTTAATTATGATCCTCTGAGTCTAAATAAAAGGCATTGCTGGAGCTAAAGCACTAGAAGTCTAGAATGTATATTTATGATAATGGATAGATTTGCAGTTGGGAAAAAAAAGGAGAATAATAACATATTTATAAAACTAAATAATAGAAATAGTAGATTTTAATAAACTATTGGAAGCAAATAACAATTTACTACGTAAATGTTTCATTTATGACTAGTAAAAAGATTTTTTTTTCTCATAAGTTTTCTTTCTACAATTGATAAAAAGATTTTTTTTTCACGTAAATAAAGATTTTTATCACGTAAATTATTTTTTTCAGTAATAAATAAAACAATTACACGGTATAATTAACCTGCTGTTTACTCTAAATAATTTTAAAATCTATTATTTACTTAATTTAGTTTTAAAAATATGTTATTTACTGTAATTTTTTCAAAAAAATAAAAAAGCTCAAGCCAGGCAATTAATTAATCAATTTTCAAGTTATATAATAGTACAACTTGATATGTGAATGTAATAATAGGGGTTTTATCTATTCGAAACGGATTTTGTCCCATTAATCCTGTGCATGTATTTTACAGGTGCTCTAGTTACATGTACATATAAGTTTCTCTCAATTATTTAGCAGAAAGAAAAAATTTAAAAAGAGATTAAATGAGGTTTCTGTTAAGAATTAGACTAATTACCGATAGCAATAAAAATCGTAATAAAAGAAATCAAGCGAAATTAACACACAAAATTTATATTCTCCTTAATTGAGACGGCGTCATCTTTTAGCCGATGTAGTTTTTCTGCTATAATAAAGAAGAAGTTACAAGTATGAAATTCCTAGACTACCCTTAATAAAATTTTCCCCTCAATCCTCTGTGTAAGGCAATAAATCGTTAAGGCAATTAATTAGGCTTTACAACTTAACAATCTCCAACTTTGAGACTAATTCACCATCAATAGCTCATCCCTGCAACGGCTCCAAAGTTGATCTTATGAAATGATACCAAACCTGTATATGCTTTGTCCTAGTATTATACACAAGATTTTTTACTAGGTGAATAACGCTCTTATTGTCACAATGCAATACCCTCTTCCCGTACTTGTGACCCTGTTCTTCTAAGAATGACTGCAACCACAACATCTCTTTGCTAACTTCAATCAATGCTACTCTGCCTCAATAGTGGAGAGAGCAACTGTCTTCTGCCATCAATATCACCAGCCATGTCAGCATCTACATAGCCCTATAAACCCAAGTTGGCATTCTCATGAAACACAGGCTGAATTTGTAGTGCCTCAAATATATGAGAACCACCTCATTGCTTCTCAGTGTTGTTTGCTAAGATTGCTCTTAAATCTGCTCATAACTACTCCCACGGCATGTGTTATGTTCGGCCTAGTACAAACCATGGCATACATAAGGCTTTCAATAGCAGAGACAAAGTGCCTTGGCCATGTAGTCCTGCTCCTGCTTTGTCATAAGCCACTTTTCCTTTGATAGTTTGAAGTAACTAGCTAAAGGAGTACTCATTAATTTGGCATCATCCATGTTGAATCTACTAAGCGCATTTTTCACATACTCCTCCTGTCACGCTTTCAAGATATCACTGTCGATCCACGACTTTATGTAATCCTCTGCATAAGGCAATAAATCGTTAGGTTAATTAATTAGGCTCCACAACTTAACAGTTTCTCCTCATTATAATTATTACACATTTATGTATATTCTGGTAATTTGGTGATTCTTAGAATATTGGGACATCTAGAGGATATATAAAGGTGTTTCCCATTAATCTTGAGGAATGTACAGTTCTTACGCGAGTTAAGAATGTCGGTTTCTAAATTTTCTCTTCGTTGACAATTATTCCTTTCATCTTTGCCTCCTAAACTCAACATTAATGACTTGGTACGTTGTTAAATGCACTGCTCAGTCCATGATTTGCTAAGATCCTCCTTTTCACAAAAACGTGAAAATCATTATAGGCATAAATCATTATATACATAATTATGTTATTCTCTACATATGTCATGTGTATGATTTTTTTCCCCCCTAGTAGTTCCAAATATTACCGGATGTCCATCTTTAGTGATGCTAATTTTCCTACTGACCGACCAAGCAGCCCAACACTACAGGGCCCAGCATCTAGACTTTTGCCCATAACGTTATTTGGGCATCTGGTTTTTGTCTCTTGGTTTCCTCCTTGGAATTGGTACGGGTAGAATAGAATTGGCAAATGGCAATTTGAATGATGATATGAAGTTGACAATTACTTAAGAAATTACTACGCAAGAGATTACTGACAATTCATCCACTAAATAAAAATAAAATTAACTGGAACCTATCGGAATTTTGGAAAAGACCGACACAAAAGTTCAAGATAACCAGGCCTCTTATAAATCACATATTTGCAAAACAGGTAAATAAAAGAATAGCTCATTCTCGGATCGGAATGCATTTCAATGTACGTTTAATATATGTGCACCAAAACGTGTACATTTTTAAAGAGAAAGAAGAAAAAACAATAAAAAAAATAAAAAAAAAACTACACAAACCCGGGTCAGAAAATCATGTGAAATTGTGGAGCGTTGTGCTAAAATAAACACAGATCAGATGATCTAAACTATTTCCTTTGCATTATTAATGTCGTTTGCTACACTTCGCTTGTCGTACGGCATTCCTGAGACAGACCAAAAAAAATTCCTGAGACAGAACACGAGAACCTGATGCGGCCAAAGAATCCACCGTCACGTCGCATGCAGCAACTAATTTCACGATCCCAGTAATCCACGTCCACACTTGATCTGTTCTGGCCGTGATGTTCTCCATCTTCAGAGACAATTTTACGCGACCTTTCTGTTTCTTCTTCTCCATCTCCTTCCTCAACCTATCAACAACGACGTCGGCATTCTTTCCACGAAGCGCCACATCAAACACCGTCGAATTCGCACGCGCGTTATAAAACTCCGGGAATTCCCCAACACCGATTTCCCGTTCCCTAAACCAAAGCGAAACGACTCCGCCTTCTCTGTACGACACGTCGACTTTTGCGTTCGTGTTCTCGGATCTCAACGTGACGTTGCAAGCTCGCGAATCGCGCGAGTGGTGAGGATCATGCAGAGTGTTGTTGAAAGCTACGTCGACGCGTTCGACGTAGAAGTTGGGGTTCCGGGGCTTAAAATAGGCGGAGAGAACGCTTGCGCTGAGGCCAAGAGCTAGGACGATGACGGTGGCGAAGAGGAGGACGCAGCAGCAGCGAGAGGTGCAGGGCTTGATTTTCTTGTTGTCGTTTTTGGTGGGGTTATGACGTCGTTCGGCGATGGCGGCGTTCTCGGGGGGAGGGACTCGGTAGATTTGGTCCTTGGGGACTTGGACGACGTAAGTGGCGTGGACGCGGCCAAAGCAATTAGAGTTGGTAGTAGTAGTTTCGGATTTTGGGAATTGGGAGAAATACTTGTCGTTTTCGCCATTGTAAATACCATTGGGTTCACGATCGAGTGTGTCGTTTTCATGTTCATGATCGGCGGGAGGTGGGACCCGCTCCGCCATTGGGAGATGGAGTGATGGTGGGTTGCATGGAAATAATATGAGGAGGATGGGGTTTGAGTGCGTCTATGATAATCATTTGCCGATTGGAATAAGGTTTGAATAAGATAGAAATTAGTTTGATTAGAGCAAGGTTTTTTTTTTTTTTTTTTTTTTCCGGTAGGAAATAAAAAAAAAAAAAAGAGAAGGAAAAGAACTTAACATCAAATTATGCCGATTTTACAGGGTCAACAGAATCACATAATTGGTCCCCTAAAAGGATTTCATTTGACTAGCCCTAAATAAACGGCAGTTTTGTTCATCTAAATTCACGCGAAAAAGATGAAAATGGTACTGATCACGACATGAGTTTACCTTATCTTGTGGTGAGAAAATAATTCGACTCTGACATTTTTTTAATTCTTTTTTTTAAGTGTTATACGTATTTTTTTAATTCGACTCTCACATTTGTACCTCATTATAAGTTCTATCCTAATCTCATGTAGTTCAACGTTTTTTATTTTTGATAATTCATATAGTATCGTGCTCATTACCAAAAACCATATACATGTTTGACGGACTCTGCTAAAAATTTGACGTACGTATGGTATATGTAATGTGACACAACAAGAGTTACGGAAGGCCAAATCCGTGGTGGAGAATAAATTCTCAAAACACAACATCTCAATTAAACCAGATTTACCAACAAAAACATATGGAAAACCAGATAATTTGGCACCTATGAGGTGTTTATTAACGAATATATCTTCATCCTCGACTATCGCTAAATGCAAGGTTTAAACAAAGATATTTCTTTTTTAAAACTTCGAATGAGGAATTTAAAAAATGTATATTGGGATAGAATCATGTGTAAAACTGCGTTTGATTATGCAAAATAACAAGAGAAATTAAAGCTAAAAAAACGACAATATGCTTAACAAACAACCAGCAATGGTTAGAAGAAACAAATGACGTTGAACAGAGCTAACTCTGTGCCTATCTCTTAACAAAAATCTCGAAGATATATTCTAACACATGGAAGGGAGATGAAATCTGGAGCTCTGGTGGTAAGTCAATGATGTAGAAGTTGATCTTTCTTCAACCTCATTGCTGACATTTCTGCAGGCTAGAACATCAAAATCAGTCTGATTTTTTTTATTTTTTATTATCAAATATATACTTTCAGACAAATTATGCCTATCTTGGCGGTTTTTTTATTTATTTATTATTATTATTTTTTTTATCAAATATATACTTTCAGAATAGATTTAATGTAAAATTCCAAACCTTCTTTCAATAATACCCAATTTTTACATCTAGACGCCAAGATACCCTTACAAAAAATCTCTAAGAAAATGAAAAACATAAAACTCTAAAATAAGTTTAGAGTTATTTAACTTCATTCTTTTAGTTTTTTTTTTTCCTCCTATATTGTTACTTTTCCAATTTGAGGGTAATTTGGGTATCTTTGAGATTAAAATCTTGTGTTGACTAAGAAAATGAAGAAAATTCATGTATCAAATCTAATTTGAAGGTGAACCTTCCTTTGTTAGTGTTGATGGGTCTCGCTGATCTTCTTGGTGTTTTAATGATTCACTTTGTACCTTGATTAGTTTGTGTTAATGTCATGTTTGTCTAATGTTTCGGTTGGTTTTCATATGTTATAAATATATATATATATATATTTACACACATATGTAAGAGTCTAGTGAGGAATAAACTTGTCATTTCATCACACAAAAGTAACTCAAATAAGATAATATGTAAAAAGTGGTGTAACTGCGTAAATGAGTTTTATAAGCAATAATGGACCTAACAATATTTTTTTTTTCCCGATTATTTGGCGCTTTTACGTTTTGCATCTTTAGATTATCAACATCAATCAGGCTTGTCTATAATTTATGGAATCTAACTCGTGTGTGTTTTTATTTTTGTCTCATTCTGTGTCTCAATAATAATATAATGACACGTCAATTAAAATATTATGTTAATTTAAAATTTCTTATCACATCAATCAAGGTGAGCATTTTACCCACAGGTTTAGATACCCGTGAGTATCCATCTCCCGAATGGGGTGGATATGGGGATGAGAGCGGGTATAGAAGTTTATATTGTCTATCAAAATGAGGGCGAGACGTGAGTGTAAAGAGCATCCTTATTCTGCCTCAGCCTGCGTCCCGATATACATTACAAATATTTTTAATACAAATATATATTATAATATTACTTAAAAAAAAAATATGGAATTAAAAAGACTTAAAAGTATTTTACTATTTTACCATCTTAAAAAATCTTATCGCAATTTTTTTTTTTAAAGAGTAAATTAGTAAGTATGAGGGATAAAAATAAATACAAAAGCAGGAGTGGGGGAAGTATATCCGATTCTGTTCCGCCCAACAATCAGCTCTAACGTCAATTGGGGATACGAAAGAGACATCTAAGCTCATGCCATGATTTATGTATTTGTGTGTGTATATATATAACTTCTTTTTGTCACTAATTAAGTTTTCTATAGTTCACTATAAGTTACTACTTTATTTCATATCGTATGCAATGACTAACCTTTTTTAATGTTTTTTGTTTACAAAATCTTGGCTAAACCTATATTAATTAGCGAGAATGAAAAATAATAAACGAAAATAAAAGCAAAAATTAACACCAAGAATTTTATACAGATTTCACTATATTTTTGAAGAAAATCGATACAAGAAAATCACTCAATCATTCATTTGTATTTTTCTCACATTCAACAAAGTTTCTCTTAGCCTCTCACTTCAATTTTTTCTTCAGAAAATCGTCACACATAAAACCTCTAAGAATAGGTATTTTTATATATTACAAGAAAAGGCTAAATAAATCTTTGAAAAAACCCTAAAAAACCGACTAAAACTCCTACTGCGGCACTGCTGCTCGTCCCAGGCTGTGTGCAACAGCCCCTTGGCACCGCGGCGCTACTTCGATTTTTCTTCTTTTTAGTTGCTTTTCTTCCATGTGAGATCAGGCGCCACGATTTCAACAATATTATCCCTTTCTACCTCCCGAACACACCCATAATGAACGAACTTGTTTAAGAGATAACGACATTTACACGGAATGTAATACATATATATATATATATGCCAAATATATGACTATATATACATATCTCATCCAAAAATAATATATATTGGCTGGTTTACAAAGGTCTTATATTCAAAAAGCAAAAAAATAATAATAATAATAATAATAACAATTAGAGAGGGAAAGTTTATTTAATCCTTTATTCAAAAAGAACAAGTGCATAATAGTCCTCACTTACCAAAAGCAATCATGGATCCAATACTTTAACAATTAGGAAATGATGATTAATTTGAAGAAAGTATCCTCGAGATCGTTACTTTAAAGACGTTTGATAAGGAGATTCATATCATGTTTTGAATCATGGCTCATGGTTTGTTACAGTATTTTTTCTCACAAAAAATACACGTAAATCAAAAATAGTTCTAATCTCATGATTCTAACCAAACGTCTCCAATCGTTACTTATTATTGCACGAAATCGTTACTTATATATGAAAAACGAAAGCTTGGACGTATCTGATCATAGCTCTAATACAAACGGGCAAACAGCAATTTTCTTTCCCAAAACTAATTAGACCACTTAATAATTACATGTTCGTGTGATCTTCTTCAAATAACTAGTTCTGATAATAGGATCAATAGGGATATGGATTTTAACAGAAGGATAAACTATATAACAATTAGTTTAAGAGAGGATAACAAGTGGCTGCACACGTTCTACACTCCTCCATCACATCAAATATGTGATCTATTAGTGTGCTAGCCACATCACACCAAGAAGAACAACTCATCTTGTTGAACTCCTTTTTTTTTTTTTTCTTTTTTTTTTTTTGATGTGCTGGCTTTGCTTCATTTTTAAGTTATTCGTTCCCATCTGGGAGAAAATTATATTGGCTGCGTGGAGACCCCCACAAAATAGTGAGTTATCCAAACAGATCCATAAGACAACTATAAAGGTCCTTTTATAATGTCCTCTCAAGATGAAAAGAAGAACATTTACTTGTCGTTGTTGGTTAATACGAAAAAAGAAAAGAACAAATCTGGAGGGCCAGTGCAGCTATCCATTATTGACGTGATTTTTTTTTTTCTACTACATATTTAATACGTTTAGGCTTCAAAAATTTGGCCAAAGATGTGGTTGGAATGTGGAACCGACCTACCCTCTCTTGCTGAGCTTATCTCTAGCATTCTGGAAGTATGACTTGTTGTTACTTATTTGAGGATTTATATGTAAGAATCTTTCAACGGAAATGCACATTTTTCAATCATTTGGAAATTAAATATAATAAGTAAATCTTACAAATTTAGTTAAAAGCGATTCAAAACAATTTAGAGGCGTTACAAACAAACTTTCCCCTTGTTGTTAACTCCACATACAGACCATTACCATAAACTAAAACCAAGATAACTTCCACACATATACACATATAGAAAAATAAAATATTAAACTTACACTAATTGACCGGATATAAGTTGATATTTTGGCTGTACTGCGGCAACGACACGCACCTGTGATTCCAACGGTCAAGATAATTAGATTAATTTGCAAAATTATAACAATGTGAAGCGAAACATAATTTATTGTCACTTATTAGCAGTGTGGAAATGAACTTTTGTACTTAATCCTAATCCACACCAATGATATGATTGTTTTTTCCAGTAAAAAAAAAAGCAAAAAACTGATACGATCGTGTTTGAGCCACACAAAAAATATCTTTTTAAATAATATGGTATTGGTCCCATTCCCATCTGAAAAAGAAAAAAAAAAAAGGTGATTAGAAAAACCAACTTAATCAGTCTGAAAATTTGGATCAAATAAACAATTAAAGGTAATGTATATTATTAATATTGGTCAGATATCCTCCGCGCGTATGCTATAAAATTCAAAGCCGGCACTTAGGGGAACTGTGGGGCCCCACTCTTCAAAAGGTAAACGGTCAAACGCTCTCCCCTACTTGGCCAAAACAATTGAGAGCTCTCTCTCTCTATAACAACTAAACAACTGTTCATTCACATATATCTCCCTCCCGTCCCAAAGACTTATCGTTAGCATCAAAACCCATACCAGAATCAAAGAGATCAAAATGGACGGCTTCGATCAACTCCCCGACTCGCTGATCCTCCTGATCTTCAACTCCGTTTCCGACATCAAGACCCTCCTCCGATGCCGCGCCGTCTGCCAGCGATTCAACTCCCTCGTCCCCCAGACGGAGTCGCTCCTCCTCAAGGTCGACTGCGTCGTCTCTCCCGACTCCGCCGACCGCGACGGCGACGACTCCTTCCTCTTCACCTTCCTCAAATCCATCCTCAAATCCCTCCACGACCTCGTCTCTCCAAATCCCCTCTCCAATCCCTCCTCTCTAAAGCCGCCGCAGAATTCTCCTTCTCAGATCCTCCGCGGCTTCGATCGGGTCCGCAACCTCGAGATCGAGCTCCCCTCCGGCGACATGAGGCTCGAGAAAGGCGCCGTCGTGAAGTGGACGGCCGAGTTTGGGACTAGCCTCAGGAGCTGCGTGATCCTAGGGTTTCGCGCGATCAGGGACTCGGAGACGGCGGCAATCGGAGGCGATTCGGCCGGCGCAGGGGAGGAGGACTTCGCGAGGGGGCTGAAGACGAGAGTGGTGTGGACGATAAGCGCGCTGATTGCGGCGTCCGCGAGGCATTACTTCTTGAGAGAGGTGGTGAGGGAGCAGAGAGAGCTTCGGAGGCTGGTTTTGACCGACAGAGAAGGTGAAGGCACGGTGGTGATGGACAAGGCGGGGCTGGCGGAGCTGAGAGGCGGCGGAGGGGCGGCGGAGGTGGCGCACGTTCGCAGAGAAGAAGTGGTGGTGGAGGGGGATGGAGAAGAAGAAGAAGAGGATGACGTGGCGGAGAGGAACAGGACGAGGGTGCCGAGCGTGAGGATGAGGATGAGGCACGCGCCGAGGCTGGAGCTCAAGGGAGGGTTTTGGGCTGAGGGGGCAACGCTCGTTGTGGTAAGGCCCACCAAGGAGGGGAGTGGGGCCCAGGTGGGTGATGACGTGGAGGAGGCTAATTTGGCCACGATGGCATTCGGGGAAGGGCTGTACGGTGAGGCTGTTGGGTCGCTTCTAAAGTGCCGGAGTTATATTCTCGAGATGAACTCCTTCTAGTTCTTTAATTTGGTCGAGTTTTCCGCTGGCTGTCAGATTGCCTGTTTACGCGGTAACTGATCGATGAGATTTTTTTTTGTTTGTTTGTTTGTTTTTTCTTTTTAATTTCTCCGTAAATTTGGTCTTTAGTGCAAGTGCAGGCAGGTTGAAGTAAGGTTGTTTTGTATATTCGTCTCTTTCTTTGATCGAATAAAAGATGTTCTACCTTCACGCTACTTAACGTATTTATATAATATTTTCAGGTTTGGTCGATGGTTGCATTTGAATCTAATTGTCATTTGAATTTTATCGTAGTTGTCTAGTTGATGGAACTATAATTCTGGATTATAATATCGTGATTCATGTGATTGTTTTGTTTTAATCGAAGAGCAACTTTTTTTTTTTTTTTTAGGACATACTTTTTTATGTTTTCTTTTATCTAGGATAAACTTTCATTTATTCTTTCAAAAAACATCTAGAAACCGTGCCTAGCTAAAGTTTATTTTTGAGTCGAGCTTCTCGAAGTAACTTTCAAAGTCTTATATGATAATTTGAAACGTATTTGCGCTAAAATATCTTAAAATTGTCGCATCGTTTAATGCGATGTTTTTTTTTTTTTTTTTTTTTTTTGTGACATTTTTTTTATATATCATTTACAGTTTAACGTGATATACATTTTTTTTTTGTTGTAACTTTTTAACTTTTTAGGTGTAATTGCATAAATGAAAATTCAAAAACGATGGCATCATAATATGCGACAATATCATAACAAACGACTACAAAAATTTTAAAAATTTTACAAAATTTAAAAATAATAATAATAGAAAGATAAATTTTAAGACGAACAAAGAAACAACACTCCATAAAAAAAATAAAAAATAAAAAACAACACGAAAAAGTAAAACGACAACGCCTCAGTAAGTATCAATTTCATAACAAACAATTACATGTAACGATGACAACTTTGAGTACGAGAAAAACCGACAAGGCCATCACTAATCTGAAAAAACGACAGCATAAACATACTAAGGTCATGTAACGGACACCAAATACAAAACGACAGTATAATAACTAACGCGAATAATAAGAACGACAAAGTTGGAAACAACGAAGGTAACGACAAGGATGGGTAACAGGGGGGGGGAAAAGAATGAGAGAAACGACACAAAAGAAAACAAAATAAAAAATTAGCATATATTGTGAAACGACGACAACATTAGACATTAAAGAAACGACCATCATAAATTAGGGATTTGCAACCAAACCAAACCGCTTATTTTGGGTCATGCAAACCAAACGAATTACAAACAAAAACGAAAACGAAGATTTTTTTTTAGGGGGGGAATAAACAACGGGCCCGTTTACTTCGCTCATTCAAGTTTTTAATTCGAGTTGAGATGTGACTTTATGTAAGAGCTTTTTACTGTAGCAAAAAAGTTAAATGTGACTGTTTCTGAGAACATTTTATTATAGTAAAATTTGAATTCTAAACTCAAATCAGTAAAATGAACGGGGCATTCAAGTATTGAAAAGTGAAACAAAAACGCAAAGTGAAATGTATAAATTTGAAATGACAGAGACTTTGCAATTGCATACAATAACAAACGACAAAAGAAAAGACCCCAACTCGGGAAACGACAATGCCATGTCCAATGTTATAAACAGAAAACGGCAACTAAAAACAAGAAGTTGAAAAACCATTTCGTCAACGCTACGCCATCCATGATGGTCTCCGGATTCAGAAGGAAAAAGAAAAACGAACTCATAATCTAAGATGAGCATACGAGCAATATATGGGTTGCAACCTCAATTCTAATACCTTGTACACCAACAATCATGCTCACTGTATGCCAAGATATAAGAAACACAAAACCCAAATCGCACGGGCATCGCCATAACTTCAAATGGAAAAATATGCTTGAACATTGTACTGTATTGAAATGGAACACTGAATAATTGTGAGAAAGTGAATCATTTGGTTGATAGATAACCCACTAGTCAGACACTAGTAACTAACTCTTCTTACATTGATTTCCAAGAATGTACTGAAAAACACTTGCAAAAGATTACTGCACCATGAACTTTTGGCTTGTTTATCACTTCACTCTTCTAAAAACTAGCTTGATTAAGATCACCAATTATCATCAAGTCATGAACCAAAATCTGTAACGTGGGTATAACAACAAACACTTTGGGTGCATATAATTCTCGTTTCTCAACCAGTAGATTGCTTTTCTAGTCCTAGTTCACTAGTATAAGGAAGCACATATTTTTCTGAGAATTGCTTTATAGTGATCTTACAAACAGTAGTCAAACTAGGTTTGATCTTAAGAATTCTTTTGCTCTCCAGAATCCGCAAAACTTCTAGCCGAGGTTTCAGCCTGCGTTCAACACTGTAAAGAAGCAAGTCAGGATGATCAACCACAAAGGAGATATCATGGTTCCCAAAAACAAGCAAAAGCTCTGTCATGCCCTTTGTTAGATCTGATGTTACGTTTAATGTTCTAGATGATGTTGAAACACTGTCTGAAACACGGCTTGATTAATTAAGATCCGGGTTTCTTACTATTCAAATTGTTCGAATAGAATAAAGTGCAGAATCAAAAGAACACACAATATGATATCACAGTTCGGTGCGCACATTTACTCTGCGGGACCACGCCTAAACAATAAACAGTTTACTATGTTCTAAAAATTACAGACACCAGACGGACCTATTTACTCAAGGACTCCCTCCTAGACAACGACGCCGCTGTGACGAATCTCCACAGTGATTTGTTTAGCGTGCACCACATGTCTTCTTAACTGCACGGTGAACTCCCTTCGACCGACAGAGCTTCCTCCCGAAAGCAACAAATCTCTCTCCCGAAGGACGATCTCAATAACTCATAAAAACTCACAGACGTCTCTCTGAATATTTTCTCACTAGTAAGCTCTCAAATTCACAGACTTTTCCTCTGGAGATATTCAATTAAATCCATGTCACATATGCTTTGAAACAAAGCTTTTAAATAAAGTCAAGATAATCTCATTCAAATTCACTCTTAATAAGTTCTCTATTATCTCTATGATTCTCTCTCATATATAGACTCTAAAATATGCTAACTCCAACACGTAAAAAACATCCACATACATGTGCAATATATATATATATATATATATATATATATATATATCCCAAAGATAAACTTTGTTTGATCTCTATGTGCTATATCTCTAATTTATCTCCAAATCTACTTTTGTAGATAAAGCTCTATTTATTTCTTTCTAGAATCACATTTAAATTCAAATACCCAATGCATTATCTTCCTTTGATCAATGCCTTATCCTTATCTCTCCAAATCTGATTCTAAATCTTCTTCTGCAATACGAAATCTTCTTGAACTTATTTTTTAAATTTTTACAAGATTGCCAATAGATTGCCAACTAATAAAAATACTTAACAATCTCCCCCTTTGACATTTTTTGACAAAACTAACAAGAGATCCTAAAAAATTCAAAAACGACAAAAAAATATAAAATTACATTGTTCTCCCTCTTTTTGTCGAAAATAAACCAAAGACACAAAAATATAAAAAAAAAAATTCACACCCTAGAACTGTCTTCAGTAGCTTACTCTCCCTGAATCTTCTATGTGTCTTACTCCCCCTGAATGTAGCATTCTCCCTTGTATAATGCTCTTAACACCTGTCAATCGCTTAGTGCAACCAGCATCACTACACCCACATTCATTAGTGCATGCTTCTAAAGAAGTATAAGCCTTATGACACCTCAAATCAGATTTTCTTACCCACATACGTCTAGAAAAATTATTTTTCACATCAATATTCACGTTAGGTGTCTTCTTTGAGTTTGCAGAATTTGGTGGATTAATAAACATACCTCTCATCAAAGCATTTAAATACTTGTAGCATCGCGGTCTTATGTGGCCAGGTAAACCGCAGTAATAGCATGTGGGACAAACCTTCTATGTCAAGGGGATGAGATAATAACCTTCTTAGTGGAGGAGGTCGGAGGCTTAGGGGCAGACGTCTTCTTCACAAACACTGTTTTGGACATTAAGCTCTCACCAATATAGCCAAGGCCATGTCGATCGCCACTCACTTTTTCTATTGAGAGAATGTGATCCAATTTTGTGGTGCCGGAATTCATCATCTTCAATGACTTTTGAGTGTGCTCCAGTTCAGCTCTTATCTCCTGTAGCTTTTTCTCCTTTTCAACAGACCAAAATTCATAGTTTACAGCAACCTTTTAAGTACATCCTTCTCTTTAATAAGCTCATCGACTCGCTCCAGCAAAGACTTATTCATTTTAACCACCAAAACCCATTTGTTGAACATGGTTTCATATGCCTCCTGGATTGTCTCCTCAGTTAGTTCTTCACCATTGCTGGAACCGTCAGAATCTGAAAAATCTCCGTTTTCATCTGGTTTTTCAGAGTGTGTTGCAAATGATGTTGCAGATAATGTTACAGATGATGTTACAACATGAGCTGTGACACGATCTGTAACACTGCAGTTTGGAACATCTTGGTAGACATTAAACGCAACATAGTTGTTCACATGATCATCATCTTCCTGGTTGCCTTCAGAATCCTCATCACTCCATGTGACATTGAGAGACTTCTTCCTCTTTTTGAGAGTGTTAGCACACTCAGACTGAATTTGACCATAACCGTCGCACTCCTGGCATTGAATTCTCATATTCTTCTTCTTATCATTGGAGGAATTTGTAGCTCCCTTATTTTTCTGAAAATTGTTAGAGTTGTTGAACGTTGAAGTTTGATTCTTCTCGTTGAACTTCTTCATCACCCTATTGAAATTTTTAGTCAATCGAGTAAGAGACTCCTCTAAGTCTTCATCTTCTTCTTTAACATTATCTTCCACTTCGGATTGGAAAGCAATCCCCTGAGAAATCTCTGTCTCCTTCTTATTTTGACTCAGATTCATTTTAAATGTCCTCAGTGATCCCATCAATTCATCCACTCTCATAGTTTCAGTGTTTTTCGCCTCTTCAATGGCAGTGACTTTGTAGGCAAACCTTTGTGGTAATGATCTCAACGTCTTGCTGACAAGTTTTGCCTCGGGAATTTTTTCACCCAGAGCAAATGATTCATTAGCTATATCACACAACCGTGAATTAAATTCAGAAATAGTTTCAGTTTCATGCATTCGAAGAGTTTCAAACCTGGTTGTGAGCATATTCAATTTTGATTGTCTGACCGCAGCTGTTCCTTCATGAGCCACCTCCAGAATCTCTCATGCTTCTTTTGTCGATTCACACGTGGATATCATCTTGAACTGATTAACATCAACTCCATTGAATATTGCATTGAGTGCACGTGAGTTGTAGTTGGACAACCTGTCTTCATCAGTGCTCCATCACTCTTCAGGCTTGAGAATCTCCTTTCCTTCTGCATCCTTTGTTTCTGGATGCTTCCATCCGATCAGGATTGCACGCCATGCTCTTTCATCTTGAGCCTTGATGAAAGCCTTCATCCGAGCTTTCCAATAAGAATAATTTGAGCCATCAAGCAGACGGGGACGTACAACTGAACCTCCTTCCTTTAGAAAATCCATTCCAAACATAACATATCAACTCTCCAAGATCTCACCAAACTTATGGTCAGTGAACCTCACAACTTGTTAGATCTGATGTTACGTCTAATGTTCCAGATGATGTTGGAAAACTGTCTGGAACATGGCTTGATTAATTAAGATCCGGGTTTCTTACTATTCAAATTGTTCGAGTAGAATAAAGTACAGAAATCAAAAGAACACACAATATGATATCGCAGTTCGGTGCGCACACCTACTCTGCGGGGCCACGCCCAGACAATAAATAGTTCACTATGTTCCAGAAATTACAGACACCGGACTGACTTATTTACTCAAGGACTCCCTCCTAGACAACGACGCCGCTGTGACGAATCTCCACAGTGATTTGTTTAGTGTGCACCACACGTCTTCTTAACTGCACGGTGAACTCCCTTCGACCGACAGAGCTTCCTCCCAAAAGCAACAAATCCCTCTCTCAAAGGACAATCTCAATAACTCATAAAAACTCACAGACGTCTCTCTGAATATTTTCTCAACAGTAAGTTCTTAAATTCACAGACTCTTACTCTGAAGATATTCTATTAAATCCATGTCACATATGCTCTGAAACAAAGCTTTTAAATAAAGTCAAGAGAATCTCATTCAAATCCACTCTTGATAAGTTCTCTATTATCTCCATGATTCTCTCTCCTAGATAGGCTCTAAAATATCTTCACGTTATCGTCATAATCTCCAATTCGAATTATGCAGCAACCTTCATATTATCTCTTCTCTTCACCTTTTCAGCATTAATATCTTCACTTTAAATTTCAAAACCGATTTCAACATATAGCATATAGTCTTCTCTTAGCTAACTCCAGCACGTAAAAAACATCCACATACATGTGTAAAATATATATATATATATATATATCCTAAAGATAAACTTTATTTGATCTCCACGTGCTATATCTCTCATTTATCTCTAAATTTACTTTTGTAAATAAAGTTTTCTTTATCTCTTTATAGAATCACATTTAAATTTAAATATCTAATACATTATTTTTTTTTTATCAAGACCTTCTCTTTATCTTTCTAAATCTGATTCTGAATCTTCTTCTACGATATGAAATTTTTTTAAATTTATTTTTTAAATTTTTACAAGATTGTCAATCGATTGACAACTAATAAAAATACTTTCAACATCCTTGATTTTGCTCTTGCACACTGAAAACTTGCGGAGCTCTCCTAAAAACTGCTAATATATCGTTTTCTGAGAACCCCAAACTCCCGAAAAGCTCCAACTTCAGCCCCCAATTCTCCATCGACATCGAACTCAAAACCCGAATAGCAGGAAGGAACATCTTCGACTTCCTATCAAACCACATTTCGTCAGCTCTTCTCACGAAGTCCATGATTCTCTCAGGCTTGCGCATGAAAAATTTCGGGAATTTAAACACGAATTTGGTGATAACAGAAGAACTCACGCCACAGCTCTAATGAAACTCGATATTTGGCATCATGATCTTCTCCAAATCCACCTTTAAAAACCACCCAGATGACTTTAAGGCCTTACAAACGGCCGAATCTGAACCCAGAACGCTATTCAGCACCGAAATTGACTGCCCGAGACGATTGTCCAAACTATACCATAGAATCCACGGGTCAGATGATATAATATCGGCAATGTCGGAAGGAGAGAAGCCCAAGTCATGGAAAATCTTGAACTTTGGTCTGATGGATTTGTCAAGGTCTGTGGGAGAGAAGTTTGGGTTGCTTTTTGATCGTTTTTTCTAGGTGGGTTTAGGAGAAACCGCTTTCTCTGAGGAATGAAAGAGCCAAATCGAAACGTTGGGGATTCTTCAGATGAGAAACGGTTGAGGACGCTTTTGAAGCGGCTTCAGGGGAAAACTGAGGCTCATTGATCAAGTATTCGGAGACTGTAATGGCGGATTTCGGTTCTGGTCTTCTGGGTTGTGGAGAGGAAGAGAAGAAGAGGACTGAGATTGAGAAGCAAAGATGGGGATTTTGCAGCTGAGACTGGGAATAGCTGGTAGTGAGAGTGAGATAACGCGTTTGCATATTTTGAAGATCATTTAAAAAAAAAAAAATTTGCAGAGTTTTTGCCAAACAGAAATAAAACTGGTAGTTGGGAAAATGAAAAGTAAAGAGCTTGCCTTTGAGTCTGCGAATTATCACAGCTTATTTATCAGCCCTCTTGTTACACTGGGCGATACAAGGTAAAAAAATTTAGAAGAACAAGATGGATCTGAATATTGTTATGGACGAACGAAAAAGAACCGAGAGACGTAAGCAATGGTCAATGAGCATGGAAGTCTTGCTCCAAAACCAGAATTTGGCGCAACGAGGAAGTGAAAAGATGATGAGAGAATTTATATTGAAAAGTTTCTTGTCGTACACCGAGGAAAACGACACCGAACTGAACCCTAAAGCCCTCTTTCAAACGACGTGTTAGTTGTTGTCTATGCATTTCATATTGTTTCCATTTCTATTCAGCAATATATATATATATAGTTTACTTTGGGTTCGTCAGCTATAAAAGAACGTGACGAGAAACGACAATACAAAAAAAAAAAAAAAAAAAAAAAAAACATTTACGTTTGATTCTTAGTGACCATCTAAACGGCAAGGCTGAGTGGGACTGTGGGAGAGAACCCAGAGAAAAAGAAAAGAAAAATAAGATAAATATTCTTTAAATTATGCGTCTTTATTTTTATTCTTTATTTTTAAATAATAATTTTTAATTAAATATTATATTAATTAAAACGGTATAAATTAAAAGTAAGAATAAAAATCTAAATTTATCCACCTGTAATAGTAAGTTCAGTAAATTTTTCAAAAGAGAACCTCAGTTACTTCTTTTCTCTTATTAGATGAAAATTATTAATAAATGAAAAACTTATAAGACCAACAGGTGTTGCGACGACAAAACTTGAAATACCGACAAAAAGAATTAAAAATGACAATAATAGATGTACATAAAAACGACGACAAAAGTCAAAATTGAAGAAACACATTGAAGAAAAAAAAAAACCGAAAACAAAGTAAAACGGCACACAATTTCAAGACGACAACAAATGATAATAACGAAGAAAGCTACAAATTGAAAAACGACAACAAAATTCTTTGGCCATCACGATTTTACCTAAATGAAAGAGTTTTGCAGATCTACTATAAGTTGAGCCGTGCCTAAAAACTCTAGTCTAAGCTATAATGATACACAACATAGTTGAATGTTAAGATCGCCTGTCTCGGTCCGGACCTGGGTCCGGTGAACCAAAAGGAATATTTGGGTCGTGGCCTTAAAACCAAAAAGTTCGACCCGGACTTTTACAAGGATTTTTAAATATATATATATATATATATATATATATATATCAAATCACTTTGAGTCGATTACGTCTGAAAATAGTTTTGAGTCCAGAGTATCCGCCGAACCCATCTTTAAGATTAGAGTCGGGCTCGGGCCAACAGTGACGGATTAGTGACTGGCCTGTTTAGCTCAACTTAACTCTACACTTATGTAGCGGTAAATGATACGAACTTCTTACCATCCTCATTTTAAATTTATAACATACATGGTATAAAATACTTATTACTAAATATTTTCAAAATGTCCTTTCAGAAAAATATTTTCAAAAAAGACGAAAAGATTATGAGATGGGGTGACACTAGTTACTTTTTTTTTTATGAAAAAAGGAAAGTATTTGTCATCAAAATTCTGTCACATAAGTAAATTGTTCCTTTCAAGTAGAATTTTGGAAATTGGAAGATCTTCAGAACATGTGGAGCCCGTCAGAGTTCCCTGGAGTCATGATTCTCTTGTTCCAAAATAAGCTAATATTCCCATCCTCCAAGTTCAGTTACTTAGAGCTTAGGCGACTTAAGAGCCTTGGGCAAGTAAGACTTAACGATGAATAATTATCTAATTCTTATCAAACAACAGCTCATCGAATATTAAAAAAAAAAGGGAAAAGAAGGAGCAATCGTGATTTAATTAATTAAACAAAACTGCATCATATGTAATAAATTTTGAATATACAAATATCCAGATCAGTAGACAGATGAAATTAATTATGAAATCATCTTTTGACAATGCAAAGCAGTGTGAAAGCTCATTCCCGTTCGCATTCCTAATCCTCACATCTTTTCCCCCAGTTGCCTAATTAACAAGGACATGTGCATAATTTTGTTGACGAAGAGTGCTCACCTAATTAAAAGTATGAGAATGCAACGTCAGTATTGGAAAAAAAAAAAAAAAAAAAAAAAAACCCTATCAGTAGAGTTTTGTTTTAGAGCGTGAAGTCTATATTAAAATGTTAGCTTTACATACTTTTGTTGTGATATTTTTTTATCACGTTTAAAAATATTATATTATACATATTACTAAAGGAGGCACCCGGGTTACTGTTCTTAGAACAGTGCCCGGTCTTTCTTCTCCCTCTTCTTTAGAAAAATTCCAGATGTGTCTTAAATTTATGTTTTTATCGTTTTATTCTTGGTTGCTTATTTCTGTTTTGTTTTTTGTTTGGGTATTTTAGTAATTTTGACTCAAAATAACACTGTATGCCTTTTGCTATTCCTTTTCGTGAAGCTTCTAGCTTCATTTCTTCTGGGCATTTTTTTTGTTCCTTTTCTTCTCTCTCTCTTCGTTTCCGTGAAGCTCCTGGGCTTCACTATTTTCTGCAGTTATATTTTTCCTTTCTTTTCTCTCTCTGCAGCTCTTTTGCTTTGTTGCTTTGGTTGCTCTCATTTCTTATTTCATTCTGGTCTTTCCAATCGATTCGGTCCAGGCTTCTTTTGTTCGTCCTCGATCACAATTTGCTGCTTTGATTAGGGATTTCGCCCGAGATTTCTATGTCTTTTTCGCCTTTTTTTGTCTTTTAGTTGTTCTCATTTGGGATTTTAGATGTGTTTTTTCCTCTATTTATGCTGTTTCGTGTAGG